AGTGTAGCCCTGAACTTATTGAACAGCAGCAATAGAGTGTGGTGTATCAGAATCCACAGATTTTTCTTTTGAGTTGCATATTCTTTGATATTAATACTTCATTGTAAAAGTTCATGTTAGTATATCTATGACTTATTTTGTCTGCTGTCTAAATAATGTCTGTGCTTTCTATTGAATAGGTTTTTCCCAATGTAAACCCAATTGTCCTGGATCAGTTGAGGACGATTGACTGCATCATTTATGCTATGGGATCCCTTTTTACTTCCATCTGCCCATCTCTGGTAACACTATCAACCAAACTGAAATTTTTTCGGGATAGTCTTTGCAATTTTAATTAGTTATTTATTTTTTGTTTTCAGTAGGCAAGCTTGTATTACTAAGAAAAACTAGAAAAAGGTGAAGTGGATATACAAATCAGTTTTGTCACCAGAAGGATCATTGTCAAGGCCCATTACAGAGATCTTTTTGTGATATTATAATATTATGGGGTTATTATAGAAACGTGAGTCTTGGGCTATTAAAGCAGCTGAAAATACATGAACATTGCTTCTTTGCTCTCTTATTAAAACTTGTCAGTCATTTAAAGGATTTTTAATCTCTATGGTTGCTACTTGCTATGTCATGCTCCTATCACATGCTGGAGGTTTGGTGGCTTATCTACTCCATGTTTTAATTTGTTCATCTATCAGTTAATCAATTCAACGGAACTATTATTGACAAAGATACTTGGAATCCATAAATAAACAGAGGCATATTCTTATGTTCACCTTATTTAAATTATTTGCTGTACTAATTATGCATTGTATATCTAAGCTTATCTACTAATCTAAAATTTGAATGAAAATATGTTCTTGGAACTCTTTCTGTTGCCTTACTTTGATCACTGTTGTGGGTAATGGTTCTCTAATCTTGTTTTTTCTGTTGATATGAAATAGTTGTCATCGGTGGTTTGTTAATTGGGAAAACAAAAGAAAGTTTTTAATTTCTATCTTGTACTGATCATTCTCCATACATAGGTTTTACTTGGCATTGGGGAGATCATCGCTTCAAGGTCTTGCCCCAAGGTAATCTTCTATCAAGGCATTATGTGTATGCTCTTTGACTAGAAAAGAGTCTGTCGAGTAATTGTTGTAAATTTGGTTGATAGTTCAGGAAGTTACTAATTCCTTTGTGATTGGCTCTGCTGAAAATATTCAGTTGAGGCCCTTAATTCCTTTGATGCTCGGATGACATTAATTATATTCGAAGATTCTAGCTATTAAACACCTATTGTGGCTCTTATTATGTAGGGTTTTCAACATTGTTATGTTGTATTAATGCATTTACTTCCTTTATAGGTACTTTTGTTGAATGGTATTCATGACTGAGAAACTAGCGGCTTTTCTGCTGCTTGCTTTGGGTTGGGAGGGTTTCTAGCACAATCCAACTCTAACCCACATAAATAGGTTAGTCTCTCTTAATCAATTCATATACATCATTGTATTTGTTTGCAATTCTCTCAAATTTTCTTTCTTTGCTGTTTCCATTAGTTTGGAGGGATTGAATTAGTTTTTGGTTTCAATCTGAGGACTTGATGCTGCAAATGATATCATCTACGCCAAGTGTTTGTGTTTTTGCTTTTGTTTCTGTAATATGGTGTTTGTTGCTTTCATAGTTTTGCTCGAGTTCAAATCATAGAATCGTATCAATTCATTGCTTGTCCTTCTAAGAATTAGTACATGATTTGTTGTTCAAGCTCTTCGGTGATCGAGTTTGTGTCTCGTTTGGTGGCTCGGGGTGTTGTTTTAATGATATAACTTGTTATATTTGTAAATACAATCATGTAGCTTTAATTCTCCGAATTTCTTAGCATATCATTTTTTGCCTTTCTTGACGTCATTAGGGATGGATGCGTCACTTATCTATTACAGAAAAAGTATTTAGAACCATAATTGTTTTCGAGAACCCAAAATAATTCATATACTGTCCCATAGTGGAGGCCTCATCGTGCATATGTATGTCATGTAATCATATATCAGCGAATAAGCATTCTCCCTCACATTCTTGTTAGAATAACTTTTTTTCTTCTCTTCTTTTTTCATTTTTAAATTTTAAAATCTTGACAAATAGACTGCCTAATACTATATATCAAATGACAGTAGTAAGAGATGTAATTAGAAGGCTGTGATTGGTGGGCTTTGCCTAGAGTTCTGTTATTTTGTCAATTTTTGTTTCTCTGAGACATCTTCTTTCATTGTGGGTTGATGCAATTTTGCATAATTTCTATTACATCATTTGTATGATGCTTCAGCTGAATTATTATGTTTGCCTTTTTATCAGTGAATTAAGGTATGAACTCTTCATCAACTCAATTTGCCACTTCAGGAATGATGGGTTTATATGAGAGAAAAAATTTTAGAAGTGGGCGCACCAATAAATTTTGTAAAATCTAGTCAATTCCTGTATATTTTTGTGTTCATTCATGTATTTGGTTTCTAGATTCGTAGTAAAACTCTTTCCGGATAAACCACAAACCTAGAAAAAGTGTCCACAAAAATAAAATGTAAGATGTAGATTAATGAATCTTTGGTTTTTTTTATTATAATTCCCCACTCTTAAGGTTTGGAAACCAAATCAAGTAACCATCACAATCTTATAACAAATTATTGGTTAATTTACAGGTAATGAAGCTCAAGGAACAGCTTTCCGAGGCAGAGAAGGAGATACAGAGGCTACTGGAGAGATGTGATGGTGTTTCAAGCAACAGCCCGGCTTCATTGTTCTCCATGGAAGCCATGGATCCACCTCCTTTTCTAGGGGAGTTTGGGATGGAAGGGTTTGGAAATATTTTTTATGTGCCAGAAAACAATTACAATCACAGCATGGATTGGGTTAATCTTATATGATATGTAATTAAAGCAATTCTAGTATTAATGTAGCTAGTGACCATCTTATGTACATCTTTTTTTCTTCCATTTTTTTTTTGTCCTTGGATTTGTTTTTATGTTGTAGTGTTTCAGTGGTACTTTACATTTGACTAGAAGATGGAATTGTTAATATAACTTTCTTTTTAATTATGGATGAATTTTTATTTATATATTGAACTTTTTATATTATTATATAATTATTGGTTTTTTTATAGTTATTTTTCATTTAATACAGGTCATTTTCATATTTTTAATAATTTTATTACACTTTTTTTTTGTTTTTTTTTTAATTTTTTTTTGAGACGGCAGAACACCTCGTCTCAAAAGAAAATTGAAACAGGCTTTTTGTGACGGCACTTATACTGTCGCAAAAGGTAGGGAATATAATTGAAAAAAAAGGCCTTTAGCGACGGTTTAGGTTGCTGTCTCAAATAGACTTTTAGTGACGGCATTTTTGCCATCGCAAAAAACCCTTTTAGCGACGGCAATACTGTGCCATTGCAAAAAACTCAGATTTTCATCCATTATTGGCGATAGAAATTTGCCGTCACAAAAAAGGAATTTTCCCGTCGCAAAAGCAAGTGCCGTCGCTAAAACCCTTTTGCAACCCCTTTTGTTGCGACCCCCACTTGCCGTCGCAAAAAGCCATTTTACCGTCGCAAAAACCTTTTGAGACGGCATTTGGGGTATTTGCGATGGCGTTTTGCCGTCACAAAAAACAATTTTTTTTGTAGTGAAGGATATGACAATGGCTCTAATGCGAAAGGTAAAAACAAAGGTGTTCAAACAAGAGTACTTCAAGTAAATCCTAGAGCATTCTATATGCCGTGTGGTTGTCATAGTCTTAACCATGAGCTTTATGATATGGTCAACTCTTGCTCTAAAGCAAAAACTTTTTTTGGTTTGGTACAATGCATATATGTATTGTTTTCATCTTCCATTCAACGTTGGGCAATTTTTAAAGATAATCTAAAGGAAGGCCTCACGGTTAAGTTGTTGTTGCAAATGCATTGGGAAAGTCGCATTGAAAGTGTTAAACCACTAAGATACCATGCTTCAAAAATAAGAGATGCTTTAGTTGACTTGTACAACAATCCTACCACAGATTCGATTGCAAAAAGTGAAGCTAAATCCCTGGTAACTCATGAACTTGAGACTTTTGAGTTCTTCTAATTTGGTACAATTTGTTATTTCATGTGAACCCTGTTAGCAAGCTTCTTCAAAGTAAAGATATGGATATAGCAGTTGCTGTAAAGCTGTTAAATGGGCTTGTTAAGTATGTTGCAATGTATAGAGAAGTAAGTTTCATGGAGGCTATGGTTGAAGCTAAAGAAATGGCAAGTGAATTGGGAATTGAACCTACATTTGTTGAAAAGCACATCATTTCTAGAAAGAAACAATTTGATGAGAATGTTAGCGAAGAGGTGACCTAGTCGACTGAAGAATCATTTAGAGTTGGTTACTTCTTCTATTTTGTTGAACTAGCCCTTTGTTCACTCAAAAATAGGTTCGAATGATTCAAAGTATATGAGGCAAACTTTGGCTTTTTATTTGACTTGAAAAAGTGCAACAATGAATCGTTGAAGGCGGGGTGTGTGAACCTTGAAGAATTTTTAAAACATGGTGAGATTTTCGATATTGATGGAGCTAAAAGTTTTGAAAGAGAGATTTCCAAAAGAAGTCCATAAACCAATTGAAGTGCTCAATCATCTGCAGTTGATGGCAAATTGTTTGCCAAATTCATGGATTGCTTACAGGATACTTTTGACTATTCCGGTTACAGTTGCATCGGGGGAAAGAAGTTTTCCAAAGTTGAAAATGATAAAAAAATTACATTTGATCAATCATGTCACAAGAAAGATTAAATGGATTAGCATTGTTATTTATTGAAAATGAGTTTGCAAAAAAGCTAGATTATGCAAGTATGATTGATTTATTTGCTTCTAAAAATGCAAGAAAAGAGAGGATCAAGTGATACTTATTAGTTGTTGTAATGTAATGCTAAGTATTTTTTTTTGTGATTTTGACGCAAATCTTTTGTCCATTACCTTCAGTTTTTTTTTATTCAATGAAAAAAAAAATGTGAAGGACCCTAGAAATTTATTAGCTGATTATCGGCTTTGGGCCCCGAAAATCTCAGGGCTAGGCGTGTTGAGCAGAGGGAGGAGGGAGGTTGATATGATATGTTTGGTTGGCTGGCTGGCTAGGTGGGCTAACGTCCACATAGGGTTTGTTTGTAGTGACAACTACACTAAAGTGGTGGAAGTGTAAATAATTACAGAAAGTTTTATAATTTTAATTATTATTATTTATAATAGAGTGCTACTATTAGCATCCTATGAATTATTTTGGACCCTTAATTTTTAACTTTTTTTTATTACAATAATAACTTCAAATAAAATTATTAAAAAGGACATCATTAATTTTGGGACACCTCATCTCACAATTAAACCCACTCACAATTAAACTCACACATCCACTACATCATGAATTAGGGTTTGTGAGAGCATCCACCTCCATCACCATTCATTCATCTTCTCCAAATCCCACATTCAAAACTTACCCACCCTCAAAACCTTAAAAACCCTTTGGCAGCAATATTCTGGCGGTAATGGTAGCAATCATTTGATTACCTACACTTCTCCGACAATGACAATGAGTTAAAGTTTTTTCGGCGACCACATCTTCATGAGACGAGAGGAGTACAACAATAAAAGTTCAGAGGAGGTTCATAACTTTGATGGTGTTCTTAATTCGGAGGAGATTGGCCTTGTAAAGGTAGTTTCTTAAAAAAAAATGACAAAAATAATAAAATATGTTCGTCATTTTTTCGGGACTGAATTCTCGAACATATGACTAAAATTTAGGAATACAGGCCACAACATTATTTATTTGTTCGAGGAACCGGTAACCCACCATTTATTATTTGTTCAGAAATAGGTAACGAACATTAATCACTAAAGAAAATGATAAGGTGGCAGAGAGAGAGAGAGAGAGAAAGAGCATACCAACTGTGATAATGGTTAAACCGAAGAAAATGATGAGGCGGCAGAGATAGTAATCACACTTGGCTCTTTTTCTTCTTCGTAGGTTTTGTTAGGGTTTTTGGAAGAGAGGTTTTTTGGGGGTGCGAGGGGTGTGCATTTAATTGAATAGGTGAATGTTTTCACAAAGATAATTTTGGTATTATTTGGGGGGAGGAAAATAAATTTTAAGGGTTTCGAAGAAATGAGGGGTCCAAATAATAGATGGGGTGCTAATAGCACCACTCTTATAATATTTTTTTGTTTTTTAATAATTATTATTCAGTATATTTGGTTTCAATTTTTTGAATTTAATTATTTAAAAATTGAATTTTTGTTTTTCGCTTTTTTTTTTTGTTTTTAATGAATATTTTAAAAATTTTAAACAATTTTTTTTTTAGATGTACCTTACTTAGATGTATCTAAAAAGTAAAATGTTTATAAAAAAATATTTTAAAAAAATTTAATAAATACACAAAAAATGAAAAATATACTAAATTTTTGTTTTTTTTTAATATTTTTGGTATTTAGTAAAAAATTTTTTAAAAAAAATTTCACAAAAATTATAATTTTTAAGTGTATTTTTATTAGGTGTGTCTAAAAATTAAAAAAATTGCTTAAAATATTAAAAAAATTCAGTGAAAACAAAAAAAATACGAAAAATAAGAAAGTAGAATTTTCTAAAAAATGAATTCTAGAAACCAAAACTAAGCAGAGTGATTATTATTATTTTTTTCTTGTCAGGTTATTTCCCTTTGTTTGTTTAGGGAAATGATTAGGTGCGGGCAACAAATTAAATTTTTTTTTGGAATATTTAATCTAATATCTTTCTCAAACTTTTACTAATGGAAGAGATCTATAATATTTTCTTTTTTTTTTGGGTAGATTAAAGTCTCTCACACACACCTATATATCACACCCACCCTCTCATTTTTTATCAACTCTTCTCTCACTCGCCTTACCCACACCCACACCCACACCCATATCCATACCCATATCTACCAAAATCGTTGTCGAGGCAGGTGATGATGGCTCAGACAATGGCCGATGCAGCGAGAGAAGAGGAATCGGAGATTATGATTGAAGTTTCGAATTCTGTTGAGAATAATGAGAGTGGAATTGGAGCGATGATAATGAGTGATTCATTGTCGATATGTTCATCGTCTTCTTCTTCTTCTTTATTGTCATCACAAGTAACGATGACACTGAGTGGTTCGTTGAAAAGGATGTTAAGTAGAAATAGATCTGAGTGTAAAATTCATCCATCAATGTCGCCCATTGTTGATGAATCAGACGATTGAGAGAGAGAGAGAGTGATGAGACAGAAACCATTAGTTTCCATCCATTTTTCAAGATTAGATATATGTACAGTTCCACCATAGCGTAGTAACCATATTTGTTTTGAATACTGACACTCACCGCCGAATTCTTTGTATCCAAATTTTTAATTTTTGTGCTTTAAAGTGTGTTGTCAGTGCCATTGTATCAAAAGTTCTTATTCAATGTATTAAATACATTTTGTGCACTACTTTAAAATTAAATTATAGACATACAAATCAGAGAAAATTATAAGTAAATTAGAGAAAATTGGTCAAAATATGAAAAAAATTGTGAGCAAATCACAAAGAAATTTGTGAGTAAATCAGAGAAAATTCAAATCAATGAAATTTCAAAACACAGAAAATTTGAAAACAAAGAAAAAATCAAACAAATTTCAGACAAATTTCTCTGTGTTTTGAAATTTCTCTAGATCGATTTTTTTTTGAAAAAATGTTGAGGGACCCCAACCACTATGAAAATATTACATGTCATTTATCCTTTAAGATCTTAATATCAAGGATCTTTGAAAAAAAAAATTCCCCCCTTTTTTTTTAATGTAAATAGTAAAATAAAGGGTTAATTTCACTTTTTATCCCTTAAAATTATTTTTATTTTTCTTATTTCAT